CTATGAGCTCTCTTCAGGTAAAAGCTGGAGGAATGTTGCAATGATCACAAGCATTGTTAGAGTCTCTTTCTAATAGGAAGTTTAAGCAGTCTGGATTTTGTCAGGATGGACCAAGGTCCTATTGCCTTGATTCATTGACTGATTCTGGTTGTCAGTGCCTCTTCAGCAGTCTTGGAGCAAGTCCAAAGGCAGTTAATAAATAACTTCATAAGTTAACTTAAAGTGACTTCTAGAATGACAAATGAAATTTGGGGCACCTCCCTCAAGCCAGCAACCTGAGTAAACAGATAAGCTTTGTAACATGCCCCAAAGGTCAGCAAGTTCCTGCTTGCTTGAATTGACAGGACAGAAGGGTGTAGAAATTCCCTGGTGAAATTCTGTCTGCTTCAAGAACTATTAAATCTAAAGGTAAGAATGTCTTCTAGGTTTTTTTTTTTTTTTCACTTGTTGGTCTGATGACAGAGTTGATCTGCTTCATGTGCCAAGCTGCAGCCTTTTTCTTTCTGAATAGACTGAGAGAAGAGAAGAAGGCAACATGCATTGTTGCATGGTCTTCAATGAAAGGAAAACAAGCTGGGGCATCCTTAATAACAAGCAAGGCTGGATGAGAGGGAAAATATGTGGCCATCTCCGCTACTGAATCCGTCATGTTGGAAAGCAACAGATAATGTTTCCTTAAGTGTACTCCAAATATGAGACCTGTTCCTTGTAGTGTTCATTTGACATTTCCTGCTTGGAGAAAGGCTCAACTAGAGTAATTTACATTCCTTGTTCAAGTAATTTATATGCCATTTTTCCGAGCTCAAAGTGACTTCAAAGCATCTATTCCAAAAGCACTGAAAAGCTTGAAATGGACAGCTAATTACCATCAGAAATAGATTTTCCTTACACAAGTCACAGAAGGAGGAATGCTACCTAGCTTAACCAGGAAAGCTTTCCACCATTTCATGACACTTGGGTTAAAAATCTTGCCTTTTGCTTGAAGGCACATGGAGAAGAGTTCATCTGACATGTTTGGAGATATTACCTTTTCTAGGGCATCTTTCAGCATTAGAAGAAGCAATAAATTAATTTATCCTAAGAATTAAGATCCTCAACCTTCCATTTTCCTTTGCTCTTTGTATTCCTAGCCAGGATCTACTATAAGAAGGAATGTGAAAGAAGGACCATGACATTGACTGGAGAAAAAAATGTGCTAAGTGCATTAGATTTAAGGTATATTTATGTGCTGTGAGTTGGTTGAGAAGATGCAAAAAGATCAGGTATAAATACTTAATTATTTTTAACACCAATATTGAAATGTAATAACTGGCATCTACATTGAACTGATCCAAAGCAGTTGCAATATCTGAAATAGAATTTTGCAGAGCTTTGTGTGGAAAATGCTACTGTCAGTTCCATTAGTTAGATCAGTCCAGGAAATGAACTCCACAGGAAAGCTAAAACTACTTTATTGAGATTGATGTTAACAACAGAATCTTGCAAATCTGATTATGGCATATCTCCTCCCCCTTTTATACGCCAATGAATCAGGGAGGAGTCTGCCTGAGTCACTTATGAATATTATCTCATTTTTCTGGACTTCAGCTCCTTTGCCTTCATAACAGTTCTTGCAAATTTCTGCCAAGATCATCATCTTCCCTTTCTACAGCCGATGTGCTAACTTCTTTTGTTATCTGCTGTTAGTTTTTCTTTTTCAAAGAACAAAAAATATATGTTATACATATCTCCAGGATTTAAAGTCTACAATTGGTACTATCTAAGTTATCATTGGAAGCTACATGTCTCTTTAGCATCTTCATAAAGCTATGATTCAGTAATTTCTTATTAAGTAATTAAGGTGGGAGTTATGGAATATGAGCGACATGGAACATATTTCAGATGAGTTGAGGGAGGAAGGAGAAATTAGGTTACATAGGCAAATGTTTGCTCTGGTAACAATAGAGGTAGGCTATATTCCAAGAGTGTTCAATGGTATTTTAAGGATGTTTTAGTAGAATTTTAGTTTATTGTTGTTAGCTTTCTTGAAACATGATGTGGTAACTGTCAGTACAGATTGACTTGGAAATCAGTTGTATTATTTCTGGAACAGAAAGACATCCAAAATAACCTTTTCCCCTAAAATGTTGTTTGGCATAGAAGTAAGAACTGCCAGGGTGAAGATACGTTTTTTCTTGTCTATGGAGATTCTCAGCCATCCAGGTCCTGGTTGTCCAAAATATGTTTTTTCAAGAGGCAACTGGGCTTTCTTGTTTTTCTTTGAAGATGTTTCACTTCTAATCCAAGAAGCTTCTTCAGCTTTTTTATTTTCTTATTCCCCCCACCTGTATCTTCTGGGCTAACATACAGCATAAGGTCCATTAAAAATTGAACTCTTTATGAGCTATTCCATCAATAACATAGGATAAAAAAAACTCATTTCCACTACACGGTAAATGGCTTTAATTAAAATACCCAATTAGGCAAATGGAATGGATACAATCCTCATCAAATCTAAGTTTTTATTTTTCTTCAGATGGTTATTACTGAGAAACAGACATTTTTGATTGCATGTGAAGATAATCAACCTTTTTATTTCTGTCTAATATGATATTATATAACATCAATGTTTTAAAATACCTGCAAGAATTTCAAGAAAAATAATTACAAGATAAAAGTTAGAATTTTGTTTGGGATATAATAATTTAATCATACAAGTGGTTGAAATTTTTCTTCCTAATGAAATATTTCAGTTCAAGTATTTCTGATTACTGGAGGGAAAATCAAATGTGGATGCAGCATGAAAAATACTCTGTGCTTTTCTTAGTGTTCTAATGGTTGAAATAATTATAATAATTGATAATCAAAAGGTTGTTGATAAGCAAGTAAAATATGATTCCATTAATTTAGGAAAACGAACCTTCATAAAACTTTTCTGAATAAAAAATTTTTGTTTCTGTAATGGCGTACTCAATGCTTTAAGCATGCCACACGTTTCCCTCTCCCCACTTTATTTAACGTTTTCTTGCAACAAATGCATCTCCACCTGAAGACTGTATTTAGCTCATAGTTGGCATTTTTTCAATCAATCAATCAGAATAGAGCAGGAAGGGACGTTGGAGGTCTTCTAGTCCAATCCCTGCTCAAGCAGGACACCCTATACCATTTCAGACAAGTGATTGTTCAGTCTCTTCTTAAAAACCTCCAGTGATGAAGCATCCACAACTTCTGAAGGCAAGCTGTTTTCATTGGTTAATTGTCCTCACTGTTAGGAAATTTCTCCTTAATTCCAGGTTGCTTCTTTCCTTGGTTAGTTTCCATCCATTGTTTCTTGTCCTGTCCTCTGGTGCTTTGGAAAATAAGTTGACCCCTCCTCTTTGTGGCAACCTCTCAGATACTGGAATATTGCTATCATGCCCCACCCAGTCCTTCTTTTCTCTAGACTAGCCAAACACAAATCTTGCAACTATTCTTCACACGTTTTAGTCTTCCTGCCTTTCACTATCTTGTGATAAACATGTTGCCTAACTCTTTGTTATGAAAAGCAGTACAATTTGACATGACACAACAACACCACAAACTTAGAATACATGTTTTCAGTATTGATGGATTTCTTGTCGCAAATGGTTTGTTGACTGGAAGTGTTATTCACAAATGAACAAAGAGGAAATAGTGGTCAACCACGAAGTGGTTATGTGACTTGTTCTTGATCTCCCGTCTCCAGTAAAGATGAACACTCATTGAAGTTTTTGTTTAACAGGGTATCATGCATTATAGTGACCTAATTCTGACTTGTCTGTTTTGATAGTAATGTAGGCCATAAGAATAATAACCTTTGGGAACTTAAAGAAAGCAGTACTATTTCCTGCCCTTAACAAGGCATGATAGGACAGGTGGTTTAGCCCACAGACTAGAGTTTTTTCAAAGGCTGGGAAACACTATGATGAAGCAATGAGTGAACATAAATGCATGCTTGGATGGAAGAACGGTATCAAATCTCAATATGAATCTGTTCAAAATATTGTGTAACATTATGTAATATTTTGCTGCAACAGAAAAGCCAAATTTTATTCTCAGGAATTCAGCTACTGCGGCTATATTACATGTGTGAACAGTCACTGTGGACATCTGTTAAATAGACAACTTGCCACCCTGAAGCTGTTCTGATTGTGCTGCTGGATTTTCATGGCCCACTTGCTAAGAACCATTTTAAAATGGGAAACTCCTAATATTCTAGACTAAATCTTGAAACGCAGTATTTAAAACAAAATGAAATTCCCATTAAAACAAAAGGATTGACAAATTGTCCCCATTTATGAGTGTGATGTAACCAACTCACTTTGCCTGCTCTAGGCTACCTTAAACTGCTACCAGCCACAAACAAATAAGTGCAGCTTAAAAAAGGTTTCCCATCTACAGCAATTGGTAAAAAGGAAGTCCCACTGAACTTTTCAAAACAACGTATGGCTTCATCTTGCAAATAAGAAAATAGCATTTGTTCTCACTTTCATTTCTGTGTGTGAGTGTGTCTGTATATACAACTCTTTGAATAATGTTCATTCACTAGCTTCAGTACTGATTTGGAGAGGTGGAATAAAAAAAAAATCTGCTAATTGAATTACCTGTGAAATATGAAGTAGGATTTTGTATTTCTGTCTACAGCTTTCCATCTGTAGTGTTAACATCAATTTTTGTCCCAGGCTTGTTTCACAGTGTGCATTTGGACTTGGATAATTTTTTAAGTATTTGACAGAAAAGTCTACCTCAAACCTGAGATCATGTCCTTGTGATTATTATTTTTTTTAACACTAAGCGACAATTTTTGTTCTTCTGATTCTGAGCACTTAGACACTTTAGCTTTAGTGCACCTGAATACATAAAGAATACATATTGTTTAGACTCTTATCTGGAGTCTAAAGAATATGTATATGGGTGTATACATTATCTGTGCAAGTATTTTTTCCCCAAAAACTCTTATCCCTCTTCTTGATATCACCTATAACCCATCTTTCTCTCTGTAGGTTCCAGTGTCTGTGGCTATGATGTCTCCTCAGATGATCACCCCACAGCAGATGCAACAGATTCTGTCTCCACCCCAGCTTCAAGCCCTGCTGCAGCAGCAGCAAGCAATTATGCTGCAACAGGTAAAGCAGCTTGCACTTGAGCAAACTTTTTGTGTGAGAGTCACAGAGACTGACGTCTACGTCTGAATTTCTCTCCTGCAAGTGCAATGTGTTTCCTGTTTGTAAATTTGCAGGATGGACTGAAAACTACTGACTTGCCCAAAATTGTTGGATGTAATAGTTGAATAAAAACATGAATCCTTGACAGTAAAGTTCAACTCTTTTCAGTTTAAAAAGAAAATGTCATAGTCATGGATTAAATATGTGGATTAGAATATTTTGGATAATTCAAATGTTGGAGGTTTATAAAAAGATAGGATGTATATGAGGGAAGATTGAGGATTTTATTTGCAGTTGAAGATTTTGCTTGTGAATTTGATTTTTGTTTTGTTTATTTACTGAAATATATTACAGTGGACTGATAGGGATTCCAATGCCCCAATTTTGTTTTGTTTTATTTTGTTTATCTTTTAATGATGATTTGGAATTCCTCTAGTCATGCACAAATTGGGAAGTCTAATTTTGTTAAATAAGGTTGGAAGTTAAGTCGTGTAAAATTGTTCAGAAGTTATACTATAGTTGGATAAAATGTGGCTGAATTATTTTCCCCCCATAATAAAATTACTGGGTTCTTAACTCCGGGAAATACAGTTCCCTTCCCATAGCAGGTTCGTTAGCACTAATTTTAGAATAAATATCAACTTTTTAATTATAAAAAGTTCCTTATTTCTTGTCCACCTGCATTTATGAAATTTTAAGAATGAATAACTGGAAGAAAACTGAAAATGAGAAGCATAATACAGGTAATCCTCTACTTATTACAGTGTGTTTAGTGACTGTTCAAAATTACAATGGCAGTGAAAAAAGTGACTTTTTCACACTTGTGACTGTTGCAGCATCCCCATGGTCATGTGATCAAAATTCAGATGCTTAGCATCTAATATTTATGACAGTTGCCATGTCCCGGGGTCGTGTGATCACCTTTTGCAAACTTTCTCACAAGTAAAGTCAATGGGGAAGCCAGATTCACTTAACAACCGTGTTACTAACTTAACGGCAGTGATTCACTTAGCAACTGCGGCAAGAAAGGTTGTAAAATGGGACAAAACTCACTTAACAAATGTCTTAGCAACAGAAATTTTGGGCTCAATCGTGATTGTAAGTCGAGGACTATTTGTACATCTTTCAATTTAAAATTTGTACTAAACAAATGAGGACTAAATGAATGTCCTATTTAACCATATTGACTGTATAATATATGGTATATTTTGCATTGAAATTTCATTCCAGACATTCTATTTCAAAGCTTTTTAATTTTTTTTCCATATAATGACAGTCAGCTTAAGAGCTACATATAATAAAGCAGTTAGGTATAATTTTCATTTTTGTTTTGGTGACCTAGCACATTCTATACTCTAGAACTTTTCAAGTTCTGGCTTCTTCTGAATTGCAGAAGCATGTTTATCATATTAGCTTACTGTTCTAAAATATGCTTAATCCTGTAAAGCTTTACTTTAAAGCAAAAAGTTCCCTCAGGAAATATTTTCATCAACCACTATATAGAATTGGGAGTCGGGTGGGCATTTTTAAAAACTAAATATAAATGAAAATAATTATTAAAATGAGGGAGGAGATAAAAATCCCCAAGAAAACACAACTGTTTGGACAAACATTTACACCAGGGAATGGAGAGCAAACATAAAAACCACAGCATCCTCCACACCCTTCCTCCTGCCTTAAGTACCTGTTTATTTCAAACATGCTGATAAGGAGTCAAGGTTAGCCCCAGGGGAAGAACAAAAGGTAAACACTAACCTGGGTGGGGTCCTTCCCTCTCAGAGCCTTTTTGGAGCCAGATAGAGAAACACGTCTGACTGCAAATTAAACAGCCTGGACCGGAATAGCTGGCATTCTCTGTGAGAAGAAAACCAAACATCACACCTCTCACCTCTTGACCCAATGTTCTCAGAATCCCATATAGAGACCTGGTTTTGATTGGCTTTTGGGTAAACAAGGGAGGCTTTCCAGACCTGTTCAGCAGAGTTAAAGAGAAAGGTTTCTGCTGTCAGTACTGTCACACACAAGCTGATAAGGACTCTCCCAGAATCCCCAGGGACATTTCTTAGAAGTCAGCTTTCTCCTGTTTTGCTCCCCCTCCCAATTGAGGAAACCCATACTGGTCTCTCCCCACCCCGCCAAAAAAACAAATTACCTCTGTAAATCATGTATTTCAATATAATGAAATTAAAACTGGCCTGCCTAAGAAAAGCTCAGAGTAATGCCACTTATCATACACTAAGCAAAATTGCACTGAAGAGATGAAATCCTTCCATGTACTAAATATTAACATTTTTGTGGTTAAAATAATTCAGGAACTAAAACTGAAATAATTGAAAATTTTACATTCTGATTAAAGGTTATTTTAATTTAATTTTTTATTTATAAGTTTCTTCTGGAAAGAAAAGGCACAGCTTGATGGATAAAAATAAATAATTATACTTTTTATTGATGTACTATATAAATTAAATTGAATCCTATTCCCAACTAATCTAACCAAAATTACACCTGAAAATAAGCATTATTAACCTAGAAATGGCTCTGTCCAAAATATTAAACCTTGTATTTAGGCAAAATAAGTACAAAATCACATTGCCAGTATTTCTCAAGCTTGGCAACTTTAAGATGTGTGCATTTTAACTCCCAGAATTCCCCAGCCAGTATACCTAATGACATAAAATAGTGTATATATTTTATATAACTATATTTTAGTTTCATTCAGTACTTATTAAGTTTGCTAAGCAATAATAGGTATACATTTTTACTCTGGCCATTAAATTTCATTATTTGAAAACTAAGTGCTTATAAAAACAGATTCATGTATTGGTTTAGCTATATAGATTAGGCAGTATTCCAAAGTTTCTTTTAATTGAAGCTCATGGTCACACAGAACTTTCCAGAAACAAAAATTAATAATTTAAAGCAGAATATCTGGCTTTCTTAAGTCCAAAAAGCAATACTTACCTATTGGACTTGTGAGTGGTTGCTAAATTCATATGGTTTCGAACCAAGATTACTAGCTATGGCTCAGGAAAAGCCATAGTTTGTGAATCAGTCAGATCTGAAAATAAGTATTCCTAATGATTTCAGGCACCTGGGTTTCCAGAGACAAGGCTTTGAACACCATATTTTATAAAAAAATGTTATAAAAATAATTCCAGGAACACCTTTAGGCAAGAATCAAATGCTAGGACGATAGATATATAGGATGGATGGATGGATGGATGGATGGATGGATGGATGGATGGATGGATGGATGGACGGACAGATGCAGGTGTTTTTTCCTAAAGAGGAAGGGAGTAGAACAAGGGTTTTCAAACTTGGCAAGTTTAAGACTTGTGGGCTTCAACTCCCAGAATTCCTGAGCTAACATGACTGGAGGAGGAATTCTGGGAGTTGAAGTCCAGAAGTCTTAAAGCTGTCAAGTTTGAAGACCCCTGGAGTAGAACATAGAATCTGTCATTTGCCCTAAATCCTTTTGACATAATTTTTAATTCTCATCCCCACTGATAGCCAAAGCTTTTTATAAGCAATTACATTCATATGTATTCATGCTTTCTACACTTTGTCTCATCCCAGAAAATTGTATCTTCCTTTTTCATTTAAACTTTAAGCTCCTTTAAGAGAGAGACCTGTTTCTTTTCCAATAAAGCAGAGGTCTCCAAACTTGGCAAGTTTAATACTTGTGGACAACAATCCCCAGAATTCTGGGAGTTGAAGTCCACAAGTCTTAAAGTTGCCACGTTTGGGAACCCCTGCAATAAAGCATTGCATATAGTATAAATTATTCTTCATGGTCTTTAATGATTTTTGGGACTCCTCTGCATGAAGCCCCTTCATCTGCCTGTATCACAAGGTTTCTACAGCTGTTCTGTACCTGAACTGATTAATTTCTGGCAAGTTGCAATGCAGGAGTAAACCATTCAAAAAAGTGTTTTCAGTAAACTTCTATGCTGCATAGCAGTTTTCCTACCAGCAAAACTCTGAACCTTGTCTCAGTTTTTTGGCTGTTCCTGCCACCTTGCTGAAGTCACCCTGCCAATGTTTCTATGTGGTCTTTAAGGAGCAGATTTTTTTTCTTTCATTATAAAGCATATAGGGTGATATAGGAACAAAATGTGAAGCAAAATGAAACAAAATGTGGAAAAAGCATTGGTTGACTCTGGATATCGCAGTGCTAAGGAGACTTGCAAGATGAAACAAAAATGGCGGGTTTTTTAGGATTAGGAGATCCCAGTGGCTGTGCACCCCAAGACACTAAAACCAAAGCTCAAAGGAACAAAATGTTTGAGAACCTTTCACTTTTGCTGATTGTTTTACTATAGCTACTATGCTGTTTTTTGTTTGTTATTTCTATATAGGTTTGTCTGCTGAATTTATTAGATTCCTATTGTACTCAATGATTTATTACATGTTTATCTCAAATATGATTAACGTTTTACATTATGGGTTTTAACGTGTTATAACTTGTATAGACCTGTAACTTAAAGACAAGTATAAATGTTTTAATAAGCAAAATAAATAACATTTGCTCTAATGTGAATATAAACATTATTTAGGCAAGAATTATTTTTCTTCTGTGACTTCATCCTGTTAAAACAATATTTGTCCACAATAGTGCCAGATAAGCCTTGGGAACTAATTATATCTAACAAGCCTTGTTTGGGTCAAAAGCCCCTCCAAAAGTTGCAGTTAAAAATGTTATCATTTTAATTTAACCAAAAAAGGAAACTCAAATAAATGACTCATTCAGTAAGTTAAATTAAAACAAATGTACTTTCTGTCCTGAGCCCTCCATTTTTTTTCCCTCCTACTTTTTCTAATTTGGTGTGCAGCAATTAGAATGCCATGTGTCACATGTGGTAGTTCCTTCAAAGTTCAATAACTCTGAAATATGGCATAATGCAGTTCCGAGTTAATTCATTTCTGGTCAAAAAAGTCATAAAAATATACAGGATTGTATATCTTCTCCTGCTTTCTTTCCTCTTCAGTCTGTTTCTCTTGCCCCAAATAATGATTGGCAAGAGAAGGTTACAACCTAAGTCTCATGTAATTCAATAAAATGTTAGTGAGTCATATTCCTTCAGTTCTGGGAATGCTTCTTTTGATTGACCCTTCTAGCCTGTTGACATGTATTGTCTACACCCTCTAGAAAAATATTGCAATTGGCTATCTGCTTTCATTTCAAGTTCTGTATTTTTGGGGAAATAATTTCCATGTCCTCTTTCTCAAAAAAGAAATGTTTATGGGAAGATCACGTTTCATGAAGTTATCAAGGTTTTGGTCTCTGGGTCTATCTGAGAATGGAAATGTTAGTGACCTCTTTTCAATAATTATTGTGACTTTCAGTAATTATATACTAAAAGAGCAAAAGAATTATTTTGACTGACTTTTTTTATTCTATTTGTTATGATCCTATAGGCATGTTGGCGAACCTTTTCGGCACAGACTGCATGCTGGCCATCTGGTCTTCTGGTTTCTGGCGCGCATGTGTGCACGAAGACCAGCTGGCTGTCACGCATGTGCACACCGGAAACCAGAAGCTCAGCTTCCCGGTGCACGCATGCATGCCGGGGAGCTGCTCTTCCAGTTTCCAGTGCTCCCATGCAAGCGAAGACCAGCTGTCCAGCGTGCAAGTGCACACCAGAACCCAGAAGAGCAACGGGCGACAGCTGATGTTCCCGGAGAGATGACTCTATGTGCCACTTCCAGCATGCATAGGTTCACCATCACAGCTTTAGGCAATTGTATAGCACTATAATATCTTTATGGTATGCTTGCATCTTATTAGATAGTTGCAGAGCATTAAAATTCTGCAGCACCAACTTTATCATAATTTTTTCTCTTTTTCTTCTCTTTTCTCTTCAGCTTCAGGAATACTACAAGAAGCAGCAGGAACAGCTTCACCTACAGCTTCTAACTCAGCAACAAGCTGGAAAGCAGCAAGCCAAAGAGGTGAGGTTTCCTTTGAATTTAGCAAGATATATTTTCCAAAAAAAAAAATCTGCAGAAAAGAAAAAAAAAGTGAGGGAAAAACAGACTTGCTAAAAAAAAAATTGCATTGCTCTGCATGCAAAATAACAGACATGCTCAGAGGTGGGATTCTATTTTTTTAACAACTGGTTCTGTGGGCGTGGCATGGTGGTCATGGCTAGGTGGTCATGTGACTGGGTGGGTCAAAAGAGAGAAACTCACTTCAACAATGCTGTTGGAGCAGCGGGTTGGACTAGATGACCTCCAAGGTGCCTTCTGCCCTGGATTGCTGTGCTGTTTCAAAGCATCCTCTGAAGCTGCATCTGGTGCCAGGGTTTGTGGTCCTTCCTTCGTCTCCTTTTCCTCTCCCTCCCTCCCTCTGTCCATCCATCCGTATCTCATTCACTTTCCCTTCCCTCTCTCCCTTTCTTTCTTTCTTTCCCTCCTTCCCTCCCTCTTTCTTTATCCCCTCACTCCCTTTTTATTTTTTCTTTCTTTCTTTCTCCCTTCCCTTCTCTCCCTCCCTTCCTCCCTCCCTCTTTCTTTCTTTCTTTCTTTCTTTCTTTCTTTCTTTCTTTCTTTCTTTCTTTCTTTCTTTCTTTCTTTCTTTCTTTCTTTCTCTCTCTCTCTCTCTCTCTCTCTCTCTCTCTCTCTCTCTCTCTCTCTTTCTCCCTTCCCTCCCTCTTTCTTTCTTCGCACCCCCCCCACCCCGTGCCCTGTTTTGGGCCTAGCAAGCCTCCCTGCACTTACCTGGGAGCCAGAACCAGGCATGTGGGAACTCCTGGGAGGGGTGGGATGGGGCCAGCTGGTCTTTGGAACTACCAGTTCACCGAACTGGACGTAAAATTGGCATCGGTTTGTCTGAACCATTCCGAACTGGCTGAATCCCACCCCTGGATGTGCTTCTTGTCCATTTGAGAGAATAAACTGAATTATCTTTGGTTATTCAGTATAGATTTAATTTCAAAAAAATTCTCAAGTTACTGCCTCTGTTGTAACCCATGTTTTGCAATAAGCAAGTTTAACTGAGACTAATTCACTGTTTAGGTACATGTTTTGCAGGGATTCTCAACAATCGGCTCTCATTTAAGAGATTTATCTGCCTTGAGTACATGATTTTTGCTGTAGAATTCTAAAATAAAAGATACTTGTACTACTCCTGCTATTGGCATTTTTGCCAGAAGCATCATCATAATGATGCAGAGTTTTGTGAAGGTATTTCTGGTAGTTGTGATATTACCTCAGAAACATGAAATGAATTGAGAGACTATAATAATCCAGAAAATCTACTACCGTGTTTCTCATATAATAGGGCTGGGTCTTATTTTTTTTTTGAGCCCTGAAAAAATGGCTAGGCCGTCTTTTCGGGGGTGACTTAATTCCCCCCACTTGCATCTTGAGGCGGGCGGGCGGTGACGGCTTGGATGTTGACCTCGGCGTTGGTGGGGCACTTTGTATCGGGGTCAACGCAGGCAGCACCATATCCGGGTGTGCAACAAAAGTGCTTCCTAATGGCAAGCCCCTCTGCCATTCCCCCCCCCCCATTTCGCATGTTTTAATATAGGCCTTAATTTGGGGGGAGGGGCTTAATTTCATTTCATGCCTATAAAACATGCTGGGACTTCCTATTGAGGGAAGCCATATTGTTGGAGAAACAGGGTATATTCATCTTAATAGTCCAAGGAAAACTTAAAAGGTTGCCTGTTAGACCCAGGAAACAATAACTTTGCAGAATTCATATTCACATGTTTATGATTAACTTGACAATAAGTATTTTAAGTTCCAAGATCAAAAGGTGACATACAAAGCAAAATCGCCTTCCATTTTCCTCTCAGCATGGTTAAGCGGGGTTGAAAGAGAATGTCTGGCCCAAACTCAACTCATGAGTTTATGTGGCCTTGAACCCAGATTTTCAAGATCCTTTACAGTACTATAATTACAATACACTGACTGACATAAAGTTAAAGTGATGTATATTGCAAGTAATTTTACTACATCCCACAAACTTTCTGTATGGCACGACTTCTCAGTCTATGATTGGGGGTCTCTTGATGGTAGAGGTTACTTCAAGTGATTTCTAATACAAGTAACAAAATGGCCAAAATCCCACGTTGTTGTATTTTTTGAAATTTTATTGTCCTGCTCTGAAACTTTGTGAAATTTGGTTTTGACCAGCTATATTTGTTTAAAATTATAATTTCCTATAAAATCATATTTGTTGACAGGGCATCTGTGCCATGATACCTGCAAATACATGCTTAACCTTCAGTTTCTGTGGCTTCTTGGGTGAGAAGCGAAACTTCTTCAAAGTCCAGTTGCCTCTTGAAAAAACACCTTTGGGATAACTTTAGAAATGATGCTCTCTTTGAATTAAAGGGAAAAAATATTGGCAGGTATAAATTCTGTCATCACATATTGTGCCTAGACTAGTGCGTACCTTGTTGCTTTGTACTGAAGCATTTGAAATGCTAAGGTAGATTCAGGAAATCCTGCAATGCTAATTTGTTCCGTAACTCCAGAAAGCTTGAGAGTGAGAATTTTCAAAAAGAATCTTGTCCCTCATAAGTTATCCCAGTATACCACCTGATACAACATGGTTAATCTAGGAGGGAAGCAGCACATGAGGATTGGCCAGCAAGTAACCTGGGCATCAAATTAATGAAGTGCTCCTGTCAGTCCACAGTGTCACGCTGAAACTCCTCTTGATGTGCTCATAAATCAAAGTGACGGGCGCCTGTTACCCCAGTAACTGCACCCACTCAGCTGCATCTAATGTAAACAGAGCAGACAAAATGCTTTAAGAAATTCAAACCCCATCACTAGGGAAAAGATCAGGGATCAAAGAATATAGAGTTGGTGCAACAAGAAGTGAAGGTAAAAATCTGGGGTTTAATCCTAAATAAATGCTTTCTATAGATACCTGCAAGTATTAGAGGAAGAAAGGATTGTAAATGGTATGATCAGTACACCAGTAATTGCTAGTGGCTGGCAGAGTAAGCTTCAGTAATTATTTCCTTGTGTTTAAGATTTTTATCAGTGTGCAGATAAGTTTCTTACTTCATTGATTCTATTAAAAGTACATGGAAGATGATCTCCAAAAGTGAAAATGTCCAGAGAAGACCACAAATTCTGACAACATATTGGCAAATGATAGCTTCTAAGGCAATACCAGATTAGCTATTTAGTTCTAGTGATCAGGGAGAAATCTTGGAGGAATGTAGGTTAATAAAAATAACATACAAGAAAAAGTGAAGTGGGCTGCATTTTTATGTACACAACACTCTGCTGGGCTTAGTAAAATTACCAATATTTCAAATTTCTAATACATTTCTAACAATTCCTCAGAAAAAAAGTACAGTAGTTTAATTTTTTGCCTTGCATTCAGTTTTTTTATCCAAAGACTAAAAACTCTTGTTTTTCTTTTGTAGGATTGTTTCTTTTATTTGATACACTGTGGGTTAGTTTGGGAAGTAGGAAGAATTTGGGTTCAATAAAATTAGTTATTCAAAAAAAATTCATCCACCATAAGTAATTCTATGTGCTCATGATGGTCTGTCGTTTAGAAGGAAACTCACATTTGGAATACTATACTTTGGAAGAAAATAAATATTAAAAATACTTCCAAATGAAGCTTTTATTGTACATCTGCTTCACTCATGAAGCTTCATCTCAATGGAGGGAATCGAAACATCACAATTATCTATTTATTACCTCCTCATAGTTTTCCATTGCTTTTATTTTTCTTAATATATAATATATGAAATTCCATGTATAATCCATGTAGGAGGATAAACCAGAATATCTTGGCCTCTTGATTGGTGAGTGCTGAAAGCTATTTTTCTATTTTTCTGGAAACCTCTGAAAAGGAGGCTTCTTAAACATAAAGAAGATATATATAAGTAAAGCATAATTTAAAAAAACATTAAAAATTAATCATTTATATGCACGTTCTCATTTTCCCCTAAGTTAATTCAAGGCCTAAAAACCTAAAAATCAAGGTACAGCTGATCCTTGATTTACAACAGTTCATTTAGTGACTGCTTAAAGTTACAACAGCATTGGAAAAAGTGACATATAACTGTTATTCACGCTTAACAACTGTTGCAGCCTCCCCATAGTCACATGATCAAAATTCTGATGCTTGGCAATTGACTCATATTTGTGACGGTGGCCGTGGCCCAGTGTCATGTGAACACTTTTTGCAATCTCTTGACAAGCAAAGTGAATGGGGAAGCCAGATTCACTTAATCACCATGTTACAAACTTAATAACTGCAGTGATTCACTTAAGAACTATAGCAAGAAAGATTGTAAAATGGAGCAAAACACATTTAACAAATGTCTCACTTAGCAAGAGAAATGTTGGGCTGAGTTGTGGTCATAAGATGAGGACTGACTACTTGGACTTATAACTTGATTATAAAATTAATAGGCTTGGATTTTACTGAATTTGTAGTGAGATGAATGTCTTTAATTGTGGGGAATCACCAAGAATGTCAGTCTTTGTAAATAATCTTGTTTCTTGAACTTGAACCATACATACTATAAACACAAGATTATTTTTGGCTGATGCCAGGATGTGTTCTCATAAAAAATGATACTCAATAAATCTTGTTCTGGGGGAAAAAGAAACAGAGAGAAGAGATGGGCAAATGTTTTAGCCCTGCTCATACTCTTATTCTACTTGTGTTCACTGGGAAGGCCTGCAGAGAGGCTGGAATTCTATTCAGTTTATGTTGTTTCAATTTTCTCTGCATTTGAGAACTAAAGCAAATGAAGCAAATTGCTGGCAGTTATAGTCACAAAGCAGAGAGCTAGAGCTCCCTCCTTTTTCTCCAGGCGACTTGGTGCATCTTTCTCACCCTTAAAAACGGCTTAACATTAATGCCTAACCTTTTCTTGGTGTAATGTAGTTGTTAAGATATTCGCCTAGAAACCAGGAACCCGTGAGTTCTAATCCCACCGTAATCATGAAAACCAGTTGGCCCAGTCACTTTCTTTCAGCCCAACTGACCTCACATATTGTTGTGGGGAAAACAGGAGGAGGAATGACTATTAGTATATTTGCTGCTTTAAGTTTGCTGCCTTGAGTTATTTATTTAAAACGTATTGAAGAAGGTTTTTTTAAAAGAACTTTTTTGTTTTTCTGCCTGCAGTTCAATCCCTGCAGGGGCTGCTCCTTCCCATTTTGATGCCTTTTTGCTAAAAGTCCTGATGATTTACTGGAAAGGAATCCAGTCCAAATCAAAAGTGAATGAACTTATCTTGATATAGGCACAATCTGTAATGATGTATTCTATGTTATTCTTCACAGAACTACTAGTTAAATACTTTCAAAATGAAATGATAGACAAATTTAATGTTTGGGGCTTTGAGTATGTATGTGTTAATACTACCCGTTCTTGATTCTCTGAGGCCCTCTTCAGACTGAAGCTGCTGCGGGTCTCTCTGGCCTCTTAAGCACTCTTAGCTGCTCTGCTCATTAGAATATACATAATCCTTGAGAAGAGGGTAGGAAGAAAATAATTGTGACAGCGAAGAGCTACATTGGAGGGTGTGTGATTTTGTTTTTGTCAAAAACTTATTGTCTGTTACAATGTTGCTTATAAAATGAATACTAAAAACTTGTTTCTGGTGGTGCTTATAAAATATACCCTCCTAATGTAGACTTGAATATTTTGGCAGTGGCTATTACTACAGAGGGCCAGATTTCAGGGACAAAGCTTAAATGAAGAAGCTGGGCCATTGGAAGCAGCAGCAAAGGCTATCCATGCATCAGGGATGAATTAATTATAGTAAAAAAGAGACGGAACAGCAGTGTTACAATCCTTGTTTTTTATAGGCTTAGTGTATGCATCATGACACCATGGCACAGTACTCACAAGAAAATGGACCACAGTGGAAAAGTAAATACCTGCAATTATCTTTGTAGCAGCATTTTTATGCTTAGACATTGTATTAGCCCTATAACAATATGGGCAATTTGATTAAAAAGTCAGTCATGAAATGGCTACAAAACAAAAATACATATACAGTGTATAGATTATACTCAAAGATGGTTCGAATGATTTAAAATATTTTGTATGCTAACCACTTCTTTAATGGCTCAAGACAAGTTACAGAACTCAAATATTCAGTGCCACTGGCAAGTGCACTTTGCTTTCCATATGCTTTCACCTGATTGCAATACTTCAATGTATACTGTATGATGTAACAAGTTTAAAGCATAAGTTTAAATAATAGTGGTAGATAAAAATTGTTTGGAGTCTTTAATTAAAACATCATTATCCCTGCATCATTAATATCTAGCATATCTATATACTTGATTGCTTCCATATGTAATTCAAGGGGGCATAACTAGGATTCTCATGTATGAGAGTGATATAGTGCATCAAATCAATTAATATTGAATGTTCCCTTTTATTTTGAAACCTCCAGATCTCATGTATTCTCATTTCCAGAATATGTGTGGCCCAGGCAGTGCTGAGTTACTGCACAAAAAGGAGCTTTCTTGCTTTTAAAAGCCTCATGGGAGACTGCTTGTGTGCAGAAGCTTTTGGCATTCATAGGAGTTTAATCTATATATGTTTAAGGTGGATAGGTTCTGCTGACATATAAGATGTTTTGTCTCTTATAACAATTCAAATAACAGATTTAATGAAAAGACTCATTTGAGAGAGCAAAAGAGAGAGAGAGAGAGAGAGTGTCAGCATTTTCAGTGCTCCGCCAAGCAGGCTCGCTGTCTTCTCTTCCGCCACCCTCCCTTTCGTTTCTGCTGCTCTGGCAGATCAAAGGCTTTCAGTCTTGGTTATATGCTGTGTAGCCACGGAGGATAAGAGATCAGAACTGTGAGCTGTGCTAGCTATAGCTAAAGCTGAGATCGGGCTGCTTATGCAAGACCTGAGAAAAAAATAGAAGGCCTGTGCTTTGAGAATGAAAATGTGTTTTAATTTCTTTCTTTTGTTTTCCAGCAGCCATTAGGGAATAAGCAGCTGGCATTCCAACAACAGCTCCTGCAGATGCAGCAGCTGCAGCAGCAGCACCTGTTAAACCTCCAGCGACAAGGGTTGGTCAGTTTACAGCCAGGACAAGGCACCGTTCCTCTGCAGACCCTGCCACAAGGTAATGCACATAAGCCTCCTTGTTCTTTAGTTGTTGTAGGGAGAACCCACCCAGCCATTGCAGCAATTAGCTTTGCCAGTTGGTTTTCATCTCATTTTAAAAGCTGCCTGTTGTCCATGTACTTGAGGCCTGATGCTTGCTACACTTTTACGTTTTGCTGTCAAACAGCCATTGATAAAGCATTTTTTGATTGCAGTGCAGTGGGCATGTAATTCAGGAACAGTTCAGGGACTACCTGAAGATGTGCTGCTGATAGTAATGGGAGAGAACTGGGCCTAATGCACCTTTCATGAAAAACAGTCACCGGCAAGCAGTAGTAGCTCGTCCTGGGTGCTGCTGCTGCTATTACTTTTTTTATAGAAGAAAAGAACGTGTAACTTATCATCTTGCTTTATTCCAGAAGACCTTATGTCTTCTCTATCAGAAACACTGTTTTTAAGGGAAGCAGCAGAATCTGGGCTGAAATCATGCTAAATATCAGAGTTCCAAGAATAATAATGGGAAGGGATGGACAAGATGGGAGTGAAAGCACTGTTTGGGTTTTCTGATAAATGGTTATTGTTAGCAGAATGTACTGTACCTGAAAGCTATTTTCTTATGCCTTTCTCCAACCCATATACGTGCACCACCTATCAACTTCTGTCAAATTCATGATTAAGGAAATTTGAGATGGAAAGTCAGTAAAGTCCATGCAAATCATTGAAATTACAATCTGACATTCTGGAGCCATCCCAATTACAGGAAGGAAAGAAGTAGCAACATGTCAATATGAACAATATGAACAATTAATTCTTAATTTATCCCCTGAAATATATCACTAAGGACACACGTTTTATCTATCAGCCTGAAAGGCATTTAGATACTGCTGGTCAACAAATAACTGAACTAATGTTCAGTGGCCATGTTTCTTCTATTAAAGTTCCAATGCTAGCTACCAATAGATTTCATAAATAGATTGACTCAATTTGGACATCAACCTGTATAATCCAAAACCACCCAAATGAACTGCAACAAGTCTTAAGATGTTTAACACTCCTGATCCATTCTCCTTCTGTGGCATGTTCATGTGGAGTTTGCAATCAGTTTTCTCTTATGATTTCATTTAATGTAGTTTAGGCATTTCTCTGAATTCTAAATTGTTTGATATATTGATGCAACAAGATAACAGTTTGTGGGTTTGATGAAATGACAAAAAAGGAGTCAATCTAACTTCAAAAAAAAGTTTCTGAACACTTCTTTTCAATCATGATTAAATCAGAAAACGAAGCATGCAACCTCCCCACCCAACCTGCACTATCTCCTTTTCATCACTTTAAACTATGCTTCATTGTGACCTAGGATTTACTTATACCTAGGGTAACCTTATACCACAAAGAGGTTTTCTCAAATATCTATAAAGCTAGCATCCCTATAAATATTCCCAATTTATCCTAGTAGACAAGAAACAAAATGCCTTTAATTAGGTACATCAGGTATACCTGTATATATGAATTTTGAAGTTAGTCAAAAACCTTCAGATTAAAAATTGGAAAAAATCAATTTTAATATACAAGCTTGGTCCTAATTAGAAGTAAGAAAATCATAAATCCATATATCGATGGTGTAGAATAAGTGTTAAACTTTTGGAAATTATATCTCCAAAAGTGAGAGAAGTTGCATGTCAAAGATATTGAAGTGTGACATACTATACTAATTTTGAATCAGTTTGATAAATAGCATGAACATCTAATAGCATGAACTTCTATGGTTACTTCTCCCTTAGCTAATTTAGAGTAAAAAAAAACTCCAGGCTTGTTGATTAAACTAACAGAGGAAATGTATATTATCATAATTCTTCCATGGTCTTGTCATGTCAGAAAATGAGTTTTCAACCTCAAGGATCCTAAAATTTTAGTACATGTTATGCTTAGTATTTTATTTTATGGAAGGCCTTAGGCATGATCCTAAGCGCAATACAAGTGCACAGGTACACTTATGTCCCTAGATGATAGCTATTTAAAAAACAAAAATGGCCATAAACCAGGGATGTCAAAATTGTGGCCCGGGGGCCAGATGTGTCACGTGCTGTCCACACCCACCCCTATTTTAGCGAAGGGGGGGGAGTTGTGATACATCATGTAACAACAATGTGATGCCACGAGTTTGACACCCCTGCCATAAACAGACAAGAAAGCCCAACTTTATAAGATCTAAAGATTTATATGATTCCACAAAAGTTCCACATTTTTATTTTTATTTTCCTTTCTTTTTTGTTATTCTTGGCCACCTGTGAATCACAGGGAAATCCCCATAGTTGATTTTCACCAAAAGGTTGAGAAGCAATGAATCATATGAAATCTCATGATTGTGTTCTGTACCTAAAAATCTACTAACCTCTGATGGAGCAGGAAACCAAAGATTCTAGTTCAGTCCAGATACCAGCACTAGGCAAATTAAAATAACAATTTTACAAAACAAATTAATAAATAAATAATTAGATTCAGAAATGTAAAGTTTATTCTGAATATTAGACTTGCATTTTCCTCTGGCATAATATACATAAAAGTGGTAGGTTAGAAGGAATTCATATTTCTTGATTTTACCCAGCATTGCTTAAAATCAAGAAATATGAATTCCATCTAAATTACTACTTTTATGTAAATTGCTTAGTACTAATTATCTCTTAATATTTAAGTGATTTATAGTTTAGATTTGTTTTTTCATGATGCTTTGTCTTAAGTGTTGAGATTCTTTTGGTACTTTCTTAAAGCAAATGACAGAGGATTGAAATATCTGCAGTATTGCTCTGAAATATATTTAAGTATTTAAAAGGCTCAGATGGTGCAATTTAATAACAGTGTGAAAAAGAGTTTATATGTAAGGAGTCCTTGGTGCTCTCTTGGCTTGGTTTTTTCTTGCAAACATTTCTTTACCTAAACTAGGTAACCTCATCAGTGCTAGCATAATGATGTTACCTAGTTTGGGTAACGAAATATTTGCAAGGAAAAAAAACTAATCTCAGAGAGCACCACCTCATGTCAACTCTGAGCTACAAACGTTCTCCTTTATTAAGAGAATAATATCTATGTATTAGGGTGATATAAATTAATTCCTTTTTTCTCACTTAATTAAATTGGGGAGACCTTCACAGTTGTGGAGTTGTTCTGAAGTTCTTATAAATAAATCTCTTTCTGTGTTCTCTCTCCCTCTCTTCCTTCTACAACACTTATGAAGCTGTATGTCCCTCAGACCTTCAGCAGCTGTGGAAAGAGGTTACTGCTACTCAGCCTGTAGAAGAAAGCATCAAGCAAGAGGGACTTGACCTCAGCACCAACACCTCGAATTCTACCTCGTTTTCGGCTGCCAAGGTCTCTCCTCCAATTTCCCATCACCCTCTTCCCAATGGACAGAACGCCATGCTCGCACAAAGGAGGGACAGGTGAAGCTAATGGATCTTTATTTTGAAAAAAATATAGATTTTATAAAAAGCAGATTTAATCTCACTATAGAATTTCTATATGTTAAAGACTGCATGTATAATAGGACAAACCCTAAAATCTACTTTTTTGTCCTGCATTCAAATCTAAGGCACTTAAGCTATTTGCATTTCAATTTGAAATAGTATCAGCAAATGGGTTTAGAATCAAATTCTGATTGTAACAGTTTAGGGTAGTAACCTATGGCTAAAGAGTAGGGTCTCCTGAAGTCAGTTTTGAGATTCTGATTCTATCCCATCAGTTGCCAAGGAGGCCTCCAAATCAGTATCTAGAAAGTAATAATTTTCATTTAAAAAAAATCTGAAGGTGGCTGATTAAGTATGTATATAGTTACAGAGGCTCATTTTATTTTTTTCTTTTGAATTGTATTTGTTTATTCAATAAAAATGGTATAGGTTCCCAAATAAACGTGTGCAGCATCAGAACAGCGAAGGAGAAGTCAAACTAAGTCATGATAGTGCTATGATTTGAATTTTCCGTACAAAATGGTATATAATCAGGAGCCTTTTTTCTCCTTTTGTTCCAACAAATCAGGTTTCTAGAAATAAATATTATGCATAGAATGATAGTAGATGGGACAAAAGAAACAAGCTGTCAAGATGCAAAGCAAAAACAGTCCAAAAGGAAACAGAAGAAACCAAAAACTGACAAAACAAGTCATGATTATTTTGCTTATCTGTAAAGCTTATTCTTTCTTGTTCAGCAAACCATGGTATAAAAAGTTGTTACTGTGCAATGTATGAACCTACTCATGGTCAAATAAGAAAAGTTCCCCTTAAGGTCACTGAATGCAAAATGTAAAATTAATTAGCTACAGCACTCTGGA